ATTTTTCTTTCTTTTCTTAAGTACTTTAACAATCAATTGACTATTTAATTAAAAATATTAGCAACCCACGTGCGGTATAAAGCATATGTAGAAGTATAATATATAACAACAAGAGCATAAAGGACATAAAGGGCTGTCGTGGATTGAATTGTGTCCCCCAGAAATATCTGTCAACTTGACTAGGTCATGATTCCCAGTGCTGTATACGATTGTGTAATCTGATGTGATTTCCGTATGTGTTGTAAACTCTGTCACTGTGATGAGGTTATACTGATGAGGTCTACAAGATTAGTTGTCCATAAGTTGGATGTTTGTAACCCAAGGTCTGCCTGTAATCCGAACAGTATGAGCTTATTCAAGGATTGGATAATTAGCAAATAAATGGCTTAAGGGGTCCAAAGAATTATCCAAGTTTATATTAAAACTCAATAAATTCAACTCAGTGGAAAAAATGTATTATTCATTAAGTGGCATTGGTACATCCATACTCAGAAATAAAGTTATATTTATAACTCACAATATAATTCCAGAATGATTAAGATCTAAATATTAAAAATATTTTTAAAACTATAAGCTATTTTAAAAATTTAAATAATGTTTATATTACTGTGAGGATGGGGGATGCCTTCTTAGGCAAGACAGAAAACCCAGCTGTGATGAAAACAACTGACAGATTTGGGCACATGAATTAAATTTCTTTGTTTTCAAAAGAAAATCTGAAGGAAATTTTTGAAGATCACCTAAAAGATAGTTTTTGTAACCTATAAAAGAAAACATTTTAATATCATTAACATACAGAATGCAAACTGATTTATTAAAAGGTAAACAATTCAACAGAAAATAAAAGTTATGAACAGACAAATGAAAGTAGGAATAATGAATAGTCAATAAACAAAAAGATTTTCAACACAGCTAGCAGTTACAGAATGGCATATTGAATGAAAAGTTGTTTTTACCCACAGGACTGGCAAAAATGAGACAGACAGAGAAAATCTTACCTTGGGACTGGCTTAGAAAAATGGCAGTTTCTTATACTGTTCAAAGGAGTGTGAATTTCTACAGTCTTTTTAGAAAATTTGACATTTGTATAAACTTCTAATATTATATGCTATATTTTGTAAATGGCCAGTAGGTAAAACTATATAAGCAAGGATGTTTAGGTAGCTTATACTGGAGTGCAAACGGTCAGAATGTTATTCTTTTTCTTGTACACACCCCTGCACTCTTTGAATTATTAATAAAAACATGCAATACCTTTAAAATTATAAAATGTCAAAATAATTTAATCATACATAACTAC